GAAGAAGAAGCAGACACGTGTCTTCTGTTACAAACATTCAATGGAAGGAGATTGACGTGCTGATATCTGGAGAAGAAGAAGCAGACACGTGTCTTCTGTTACAAACATTCAATGGAAGGAGATTGACGTGCTGATATCTGGAGAAGAAGAAGCAAACACGTGTCTTCTGTTACAAATATTTAATGGAAAGGGATTGACGTGCTGATATCTGGAGTAGAAGAAGCAGACACGTGTCTTCTGTTACAAACATTCAATGGAAGGAGATTGGCGTGCTGATATCTGGAGAAGAAGAAGCAGACACGCGTCTTCTGTTACAAATATTCATTGGAAAGGGATTGACGTGCTGATATCTGGAGAAGAAGAGGCAGACACGTGTCTTCTGTTACATTTACAGGAAATGGATTGACGTGCTGATATCTGGACAAGAAGAGGCGGACACTTGTCTCTTGTTGTATGCCAAGCACGCTGCAGAGAACTTCCCAAATCTAGTTATTGTGACAGATGACACTGATGTTTTCATTATTTGCATAGGGATCAGCCAGAGTATAAACACTATGATCTTCTTGAGACGGGGTTTAAAATCATCAGTGAGGCTTGTTAATATCACAAAACTAGCTAATGCTTTGGGAGGTGATGTTTGCAAAACGATGATAGGTCATGTACTGTTAGCTTGTTTGCAGGAAAAGGAAAACTGAAAGCACTGAAACTTACGATACTAGATCTGAAGTTCTTGGAAGTATTTGCCTCACTCGGCAAGGTTTATACCACTCTGGATGAAATATTCAGTATAATCCTGTGTGAAGAAGCCAGTCCGAAATCCACAAAGGATGTCAGGTGGCCATCTTGGATTTTCTTGTCAACATAGAAAGTCTGGAGTGCCTCACCCAACCATCATGCCAGTTAGTATAGACAATCAATTTGTCTGTAGGAAGAAGCCTATTGATTTTGAGTATGTTTGTTTGTTATGGATTTCGCGCAAAGCTACACGAGGGCTATCTGCGCTAGCCGTCCCTAATTTAGAAGTGTAAGACTAGAGGGAAGGCAGCTAGTCATCACCACCCACCGCCAACTCTTGGGCTACGAATAGTGGGATTGACCGTCACATTATTATAACGCCCTTACGGCTGAAAGGGCGAGCATGTTTGGTGTGACGGGGATTCGAACCCACGATCCACAGATTGCGAGTCGAGCGCCCTAACCACCTGGCCATGTCGGACCTTGAGTTTGAGCCCAGTCAATATAGGCTATGTGGATATCTTAGAAAAATTGGATGCCCCACTGATGGGAATACTGGACATGTAGTTCTGAGCTTTTGTTACTCAATTCTCACAGAGAAACATTATTGCAAGTCAAACCTACTTCAAAATACATTTTATCAAGGTTACCTTGGATTTACCTTATTCAAATTACATTTTATCAAGGTCACCTTGGATTTACCTTATTCAAAGTACATTTTATCAAGGTTACCTTGGATTTACCTTATTCAAATTACATTTTATCAAGGTCACCTTGGATTTACCTAATTCAAAATACATTTTGTCAAGGTCACCTTGGATTTACCTTATTCAAATTACATTTTATCAAGGTCACCTTGGATTTACCTAATTTAAAATACATTTTGTCAAGGTTACCTTGGATTTAGATGCCCAGATGCAAAATAACTTGAATTTTTGGTGATTTTTGATGAATTGACAGACACCTTGAAAAATGGCTGCTAAAAGTCATTTAGCTACGAATCTCAAAGGTCCATCACGTACTCTCAGACACTCCAGACATATGGCTAACTAAAAAACATAGTGCCGTTGAGTCTCTCTGTTTGGTAGTCAACTCTTAATGTTGGGGGTCTGGCTCATGGACTATAAAGCTACACAAGAGTTAGCTGCGCTAGCCGTTCCTTATTTTGAACTGATGGGCTACAGGAAAGGCAACTAGTCAATAGTACCCACCCCAACTCTTCATTTCTTTTAACGAATAGTAAGATTTCACTGTCACTATTATAACGCACCGAAGGCCCATTGTGGGAATGGGATGCGAACCATGTCCATTGGGATTCATAGACCTGGCTGCCCCCAGCTCACATCCAATAGGAAGAACGTGTTCATTAGAAAGCGAAAAGCGTATTGCTTTATGCAAAGTTTAGCATATTGCACATAACGCATGCATAACACGAGTACTGTGTTGGTGTAAATCCCACAAGGTAAATAAGTCGTGGCAACTGGATGTTTACCAAACAACAGGAGTAATCTGGATACAATACAGTTTGTACATCCATTCAAAAGCAGTACCAAAGGTCCTGATGTAATTACTTATTGAATTACCAAAATAAATAAACCCTAGAAAACACGTCATGCATACTGTAATTCTTAAGAAGCGGTACCACACCATAGTTTTGTCTTACATTAGTATATTGCAATACACAAGAGGGCGCCACTATGTCATCATGTAGGATTATTGTTTAATATATGGTAATCTACGAAGCATCATTGGATCCGCTGTACTATCAAAAGTCATCATTGCTCTTCGAAAATGTTCTTCTTACATTACGAAAGCGACATTTTAGATGCAAAACATTACTAGGCCACCTTGTGGTGAGATGCAAAACATTACTAGGCCACCTTGTGATATTGGTTACCTTTGCCAAATCAGTTGGTGATCGGTAGTAGTATTGTGAGTTCAGTTCAATGTCATTTTTCTTTTCATCACAAAATGCCGTGTTAACATGTCAACGTATAATTACTGCCCCCTAGTGGCTTAGAGGTAAGTCTGAGGGCTTATAACGCTAGAAATTGAGTTTCGATACCTATGATAGTCACAATACAGATTATGTAGTTTTACGATTAACAATAAACAAGCAAACAAAATTACAGCTGCTTATGTTCAGTCAGTGCTGCCACGTGGCGGTAATGATAAGGAAGAAACAGTCTGGAACGTATAGGTAAGTTTTTCTTGTAAGATCAGCTAACGTCAAAAAATGATGTTGCTGATACAAAATGCTCAGATGTTGTAATTAAATAAAGCATCATAATTAAAAACAAATACATATATATATATATATATATGTTGTTATAGTATTTTAATAGTTAGAATGAGCATTTTCAGAGCCAGAAAATTAAAATATGGCCGTCTTCTTTTTTAAAATAAATTTTTCGTATTGCCTGCATACATGCTATACTGTGTTGTCAAGTCTCATTATAGGTATCCAACGGTTTTTCCAGAAGACTTACTTAAAGGTTCATCCTATCTAGCTTGATGAAGAGTAGGCTTAAACTTTAAGTGCACCGTCAGCAATAAGTTTTATATTTGAATCCCCGCTTCATTCTTTCTGACTTTTTTTGTTAGATTCCATCAAAGATTACGCGCTAGGCTTGTTTATTGCCTCGTATGAATCAGCATTTATCCTATTGATTAATGCTTCAACTCGAACACCACTGACAAATAATGACAGCTGTAGGGGGGTTTTAAAACTGCACGCGGATCGTGGATTAGTTTCTTACGAACACGTGACCTTTTCTTCTTCCATTTTAATTAACAGCGGAAACATATTAAACTGTATTTAAGGTTTAATATCAAGAAAACCTTTAAGTTTTAAAACGTCAAATCCGCGTTAGATGTGATGTTTTCAACACGAATTAATGTAAGGTTTAGGATGGAGGTATTTAACAAATAACAGAAGGAATGAAAGGGTACAGTTTTTCAAGTGTAATAATTGGAAAGGCTGATCCACCCTTTTCTTTAGATAAAGTTTCTCAGAGCGGATCTTTGAAGGACGTCTTGAGTTGATCGATTGTCTGTTGTGTTTGTTTGTTTGTTTTTGAATTTCGCGCAAAGCTACACGAGGGCTATCTGCACTAGCCGTCCCTAATTTAGCAGTGTAAGACTAGAGGGAAGGCAGCTAGTCATTTAACATTTATATATAGTCAAGTTAAAAAAACATCAGCAAATGAATTGATTCGTATCTTATCGGCAATTCTAGGCTCAACGATTATTAACAAATTATTTGAAGTAGATTACAAAATGATAAAAAATGCAGTTGACAAAAAATTGAAAAAGGCTCTTTAATGTTTTAAATTGTTTGCATAGAAAAACTTCCGACAAAGAAACGTATCGATACTGTGTAAATATTTCCCCAAAATAATGTGTAAATATTACCCCAAAATAATATGTAAATATTCACCCAAAATAATGTGTAAACATTCACCCAAAATAATGTGTAAATATTTTCCCAAAATAATGTGCAAATATTCCCCCAAAATAATGTATAAATATTTCCCCAAAATAATGTGTAAATATTTCCCAAAATAATGTATAAATATTCCCCCAAAATAATGTGTACACATTCACCCAAAATAATGTGTAAATATTCCCCAAAATAATGTGTAAATATTCCCCAAAATAATGTGTAAATATTTCCCCAAAATAATGTGTAAATATTTCCCAAAATAATGTATAAATATTCCCCAAAATAATGTGTAAATATTTCCCAAAATAATGTATAAATATTCCCCCAAAATAATGTGTAAACATTCACCCAAAATAATGTGTAAATATTCCCCAAAATAATGTGTAAACATTCACCCAAAATAATGTGTAAATATTCCCCAAAATAATGTGTAAATATTTCCCAAAATAATGTATAAATATTCCCCCAAAATAATAGAATTTGCTGCAAACAACAAAACAAAAACAAAATGGCGTTTCGAGGCTTTGCCGAAACGATTTTAGTCATTCTACTACCTACAATTCGTTGTAAAGATACAATTATTAATGTTATTTATTTAATGTAAACTTACCGTTTCTTTGCTGTCACTGGGAAAATGCGATTTTACGTAAAGCGCTCCTGCAGCCATCCCCATGTATTTATTGACATAATGGGTGCAGGTCCTCCATCGTTCTGGTTTTAATGGCGTTCCGGAGAGGGCACCGAAGAACTCTTGCTGCTTCTCCAAAAATCGAGAGTCAAGATAGCTAACACGATTGTAGATGAACCTCCACAATAAGTAATTTGACACCACACTAATATAGAAGTAATAATAATAATAATTATCAATGTTCAAGACAAGACACACTAATATAGAAGTAATAATAATAATAATTATTACTTCTATATTAGTGTGTCTTGTCTTGAACATTGATAATTATTATTATTATTACTTCTATATTAGTGTGTCTTGTCTTGAACATTGAAGGTTAACTGGACTAAATACTTTGATATAGTTATGCCAATGGAAATACCCCTGTCAGAAGAAGTCGTAGTGTACGCCCTGCGCTATTTGAAAGACATGGGCAGATTGGTGGAAAGTACATCAAAGCGGTAAACACAGTTCATATGTTTATTTTAGTAAGCTGTATCATAGAAAACAGGGAACTGAATATAAAGACGGTTTTGTTATTTTCATTTAAACATAGTAGTTTTGTTACAACAACTTGGACGTAAGGACTACACCCAGACCGTGTATTGTATCTAATAATGTACTGGCCTTTTCCAGGATGACTTGATGATTAATTAATTGTACTTGTTATTTTTAGGAGAGAAAAAAAGGCCAGAATGGGTGCGTGTTTTTTTTAACTGACTTTTCTATTTAAGCCACAAAACTAATATATATATATATATATCGATCCTGTTAATATATATATATATATACCATTAAATTTATAATAATAACAAATAATCAGATAAAACCTCTTTGTAGTCTGAAAGCTCAACTTGTGTTATTTTTTAAACATGGAACACTTGTCTTGAAAATTGATAATTATTATTACTTCTATATTAGTGTGTCTTGTCTTGAACATTAATAATTATTATTATTACTTCTATATTAGTGTGTCTTGTCTTGAACATTGATAATTATTATTACTTCTATATTAGTGTGTCTTGTCTTGAACATTGATAATTATTATTAAAGATCGAATACACAAAGTATTGTTAGCTTGGGAGAAACTTTCAAAAGACATTGTTGGCTTATTATTAAATACATTGTTGGCTTATTATTAAGTACACAAAAGACATTGTTGGCTTATTATTAAATACACAAAAGACATTGTTGGTTTATTATTAAGTACACAAAATACATTGTTGGCTTATTATTAAGTACACAAAAGACATTGTTGGCTTATTATTAAATACACAAAAGACATTGTTGGCTTATTATTAAGTACACAAAAGACATTGTTGGCTTATTATTAAATACATAAAAGACATTGTTGGTTTATTATTAAGTACACAAAATACATTGTTGGCTTATTATTAAGTACACAAAATACATTGTTGGCTTATTATTAAATACATAAAAGACATTGTTGGCTTATTATTAAGTACACAAAAGAAATTGTTGGCTTATTATTAAATACACAAAATACATTGTTGCTTTATTATTAAGTACACAAAAGACATTGTTGGTTTATTATTAAGTACACAAAATACACTGTTGGCTTATTATTAAGTACACAAACGACATTGTTGGCTTATTATTAAGTACACAAAAGACATTGTTGGCTTATTATTAAGTACACAAAATACATTGTTGGATTATTATTAAATACACAAAATACATTGTTGGTTTATTATTAAGTACACAAAAGACATTGTTGGTTTATTATTAAGTACACAAAATACATTGTTGGTTTATTATTAAGTACACAAAATACATTGTTGGCTTATTATTAAGTACACAAAAGACATTGTTGGTTTATTATTAAGTACACAAAAGACAGTGTTGGTTTATTATTAAGTACACAAAAGACATTGTTGGTTTATTATTAAGTACACAAAAGACATTGTTGGCCGAAATTACAATACATAAGTAATTGTTCTCCTGAAACCGATTATTTGAAGTCT